CCCGCCCGTGTGCTGGAGGGTGCCCGGAGCCTGGAGGACCGGTTGCAGCAGCTCCAGCGCCTCGAGCCCGAACCGCCCCCCCTGAAAGATCTCAGTTGCCCCTGGAAGAAGCGCACGGAGCTCGTCAGCACCAAAGGTACCCCCCGGCACCGGTTGCCCCATCACATGTGGGTGCCCGTAGCCGAGTCCCACCATGTGCCTCTGAGCATCCCCGGGATGCAGGCTCAGGGCTCTGGCCCCGTTGGCCACCGCTGCTGTGCCCAGCATAGCTGTGTGAAACGTGTGTCCCCCCACCCAGCAGAGCGCAGAGAGGGGACGTCGCCAGCAGCCGGGCTCACGACAGCGGCCGAGCCCCCGCTTTCCAGCATCGAAGGCAAAGCAGCGTGCACAGAAGCCTTGCTGCAGAGAAATGAGGCAGAAAAGCAAAAGTACGTGAGTACCGGAGAGGGAGTCATTCCGGGGTGCTGCAGGAACACCCTCCTACACAGGGGTGTCCCTCTGTCCTTCCCTCTTCTCCTTTCCCTTGCACCTCTTTTGCTCTCTGGATTGAGAGCGGACTCATCCTGTCCAGAAACCTGATACAAGGTCCTGGGTGCTCGGCACGTCTGTCTGTCCGTCCGTCCCGGATCCCAGGCAGTGTTGGGGCAGAGGCAGGGCAGGTCCCTGCTGCCAGTACCTCATGCCGTCTCCCGGCACGTGGTTTTGCTCGGACAAATGGGTTAAATCCAGGTTGGTGGATGAACCTCATTAAATGGCCTTTTAATTTGGAGGCTCCAGCTTTCTCTGTGCCTTCATTGTCATTCCTTAACACGCTGCACCGGGAAACAAATGAGGAATCTTTAAACCCTAAATTGCAGATCTCTGTGAGTAAGTTCCTGGCAAGTGCAGGCTATAAATAATGCAGAATAACTTTTCCCTGATTGCTTCCCCCCGCCCCCCTCCAATTAATTACAGGCGGGGATGGGCTGCCACCCCCCCTATCAGAGGGGCTTCAGGCACAGGGATCAGGACTATTTTCAGCCCAAAGC